ATACAAAGTAGAAAACAAAATGAATTATCCACATAGTCAGAAACTTCTCAGACTGTTCTCAACTTTACTTTCAAAGTGAGGGTAAAGTCTGCAGTCAAGAAATTCAGCACACACATGCGAAATATACTCCACCTTTCTAATGAAAAGGCAATTCTCTGTCACATAAAAAATCCAAGCCAATTCTTTGCAAACAAGCCATGATCAGGGTAAGGTAGTGGCAATAACACAAAGTTTAATATACTCAGGATAGAATGTTGCCGATATAATGCTAATGGATTTCAGCACAGGCTTTGTTACTGTTTTACACAAAGGCTGCTCAGGTCACATTTTGAGACACCATGGTACATCATAAGAATGCCTATTTATTAAAAATAGTTGCTACTGTCTCTGAGTATTTTATACCTCTACCCTGTGATCAACAGTCATAAGCCTGCTGCTACCACCATACAGTCAATACTAGGTGGGAAAAGTACAATCATCTCTTTTGGTGTCTAGACTTCTTCCCTCTACCAAAAGATCTGATGAACAAGTTTCAACGCTTACGTTCAAAAGCCATCATTTCAAAGTCACAGAACTCACACATTTAACTGATTTTGATTTCTTCCTAACTCAAATAAAAGGAGGAAAGAGGTACACGGACATAGCTCAGACGAATACAGTAGTTCAATAAATGTAATTGTGCATCTGTTTGTTTTTTTTTAATTTAGTCCTTCTGTCCTAATGTTTACCCAGTATAATAAAATAAGCCTTTCTGTCTGAGTGCACGGTGCTAGAATAAAAAACTCTGTCACAGGCATGAAGCATAACAGAGCGTAACACCTATTTACACATTTTTTGCTCTGAGGTCAATCAAAGATCTTGACGCAATCAGTATTAAGCTCCCTCATTTTCTTGTCCCAGCTATAAATGCACTCTAGCGCAATAACTTTTCCTAGGCCACTTACCTTTACTGAAATGTACTGTTTGTCATTTGGCAAGCTTGACTATGACACAATGATAATGTCAAGGTCTTCGAGATTATTATGTGACAGTGCAGACTTACTATCTTATCAGCAGCAGTAAGTATCTTGCTAAAACTGAGGTGTTACACAATTGTTTTATTCCGACTATGCACCCTGAAGAGGGACTTACCTTGTGAACTGAGTAATACTGCCATACAAATTAGCCACTTTCATATAATCTTCTCAAGAAGACAAAACAGACAAAAAGTTCCATGCAATCATTTTTAATACTCCTGAAAACTGCTTTGAATGTGAGCATAAGTGAACATATGTAGACAATTAATACCAGAGCTGAGCAATGATTACATTTCATGTATATGCATTCATATACACGACAGTATGCTTCAAGCTCAACTTTTATTCTGTACAATGAGAAAAGATGAACAAAGTTCTAGTTCTTATAATACTCAGTCTAAAAAAAGAAGAAAAAAATCAAAGACTTTTTGAAGACTTTTCTGTAAATGTGCAAAAATTCATAACCATTTTAGAGCAGTAACACTGGAGACAGGCTTGGTCATTGACCAGGACTCAATTGTGCCAAAAATTTTAAGAGTGAGGGGAAAAAAAGCCACACAAACTAAATCAAACCTCCACATAACCCATATGGAATAAGACACAAAGAGCATATGTCAAAATAAAGGAGGTTTCAACCATTCATTCATTTGTACCTTCTTCTAACGAAGAGCTATTAATATAAAACATCAACTCAAAACACTCTCCTCACCAGCAAAACCATTAAGCTTCTTTTACTGTACGTAAACAAGAACTTGGAGGATGTCATCGCTAAAATCCATATTTACTAAACAATCTATGACATGGTAATCCTACAGCAGTAATTTAGTTATCGTTGGTGATGTTTTCCTTCCACCTAAACCAAAACTACAGCTTAACATTGATAAAACCAGTGTACCTTAAAGAAAGCACTGTAGGTTAAAAGAGACTTAAAAAAATATAAAAGGACTGCTTAAGTACCTCCAGCCTTTACAAAACAATAAAGCGCATCATTTACATTTTGGAGCATAAGAGAGGTGAATGATACAAGACAGCAGAACAAATTTCTCAAGGTAGCGTACACCTGAATGAAGCATTCAGGCTACAGTAGCTCTACGAAGGCCACGCAGAGCAGGTCTTGCAATGCCTTGTTTCACCTGGCCACCACCTGACTTCTTGCTCATCTTCCAAAACTCTTCAAACAGCACTTAGGCTTTGATACACTACATGCATTGAGTACTGTGTTCAATTTTGGGCACCACAGTATAAGAAAGACATTGAGGTGCTGGAGTGAGTAGGGTAACAAAGGGTAACAAAGTGGGTGAGGGGTCTAGAGAACAAGTCTTACAAGGAGCAGCTGAGGGAGCTGGGGTCATTTAGTCTGGAGGAGGTTGATAGTGCCCTCTACAACTACCTCAAAGGAAGTTGTAGTGAGGTGGGGGTTGGTCTCTTCTCCCAAGTTGCTAGTGATAGGATGAGAGGAAATGGGCTCAAGTTGCACCAGGGGAGGTTTAGATTGGATATTAGGAAAAATTTCTTACTGAAAGAGTTGTCAAGCATTGGAACAAGGTGCCCAGGGAAGTGGTGGGGTTGCCATCACTGGAAGCGTTCAAAAAAATGCGTAGACGTAGCACTTAGGATATAGTTTAGTAGTTATGATAGTATTGGGTTGATGGTTGGACTTGATGATCTTAGAGGTCTTTTCCAACCTTAATGATTCTATGATTGCCATCAACAGAACTGTTTTTACAGCCATCAGTACTCCATTCCCAATTTTGATTTGGCAAAATAATCATACTGAACACTTTTCTCCTCAGTACTCTATCCTATTCCAAAGAAACAAGCCACCTAACTACTCCTGAACTCATCTTGTTTCTTAGATTGCATTTCAAAAATCAGTTTGTTTCTCACAAGTCCTTCCCCACCCTATGAGCAGTTCATGAATTTGACAAAATCTTGAAAATTTGTGTGCATCTACTCAAGATGACATGAATAAAAAGCCTACTAGCTGCCCTGACAGCACAACAGAGAAAGGATAAGTAGTAACCTCTACTGTACACTGAAGTTAAGTACCCTGCTTTGCATTCACACACATTCCAGTTACTAGTGGACAAAAGAGAAGCTTCCTAAAATCATTCTATTCTTAAGTGCTGAGACAGCCAAATAATGTGAACCTAGTAAATTGATCACATGGGAAGTACTCACAATAATCTCAATTTACTGACAATTCTGATGCCCTTCTACACAATGCCCTGCTCGCTAATGAAATGGGTGAAATGGGACTGTGGTGCCACAGAGAGGGTCTGTTTTGATCCCTTATTTTCACTGAAGATGTTCTGATGCATTTTATTCCTGTCTCAGAACACAGGAGAAGCGCGTGAGAAGCAGCAGCTGCTGCCTGAGCAGTTTTACTGATGGGAGCAGTATGCACAGATGTCAAACACTGGGAAGTAATAAAGGCAGCACGAAGATTTCTGAAAAATCCAGAACTCATCATCTAAGTTCTACTTTTGTCTGGTACAAATATGACATTTCTGACTGTCAATTTATCTTTTTATTTGAGAAAAATGAAAAAAAAAATTGCAAAAATAAAAAACCACAGCTAGACACTGTGCCTGATGTATGCAAGCATAACTCGTATGTTAGAACAAGGTCTTAGGAAACAAAGTGATAGTAAATGAATATTTGTCAAAGACCATTTATGCATACCATACTTTATAAATAAAGTTTGGCCCTTAAAATTCCCATCTCTTGTGTCAGAATCCAAACTTCTTTTTTTTTTTTTCCCCAAAGTTTAGCTAAAGGCCTTTCCAAATGTAAACCTGCAGCTTAGCACTCTGGCTTACATTTTCAAATACCCAGGAGAAAGTTTAAAATGCAAAGACTTCCCTCATTTTTTAAAGCAGGATGTTTATCCTAACATCCAGATATCTGACGACAACAGTATATAATTATTTCAGAGTCTGGATCTTTCTCTTGTTTCATGAACAATTTTTAGCCTGTCTGATAAGAATAAAAGAATGGCATTTAAAACTGGTACCCAGCATCAGTGGCACTTCAGCACAACTAAGCATCCCCCTTGTCTATCAGTACTGTGTTTGTAGTGAGGTTCAGGGCCCAGAATAATTTAATTCTTGTAAGGAGAACCAACAGGCCCCCGGTTCTGTTCTTTCCAGAGTGCTATTCAGTCCACATACTTCAGGTAATGTGGTTAAAGAGCTGTGGTGTAAAATATTAATTTCAATTAATTCAAAACCAAGCTGCTTCAATTTGATCCAAACAATGTATTTTTCTCCAGCAGAGGGAGACGATTTACTACTGCTCAGCCTAGAATTTTTTTGATGGAGAATAAAACATTGCATTAGACTACACAGCTACAGATATCTCACAATGCACTGCTTCATACAGCTGAGGCACAAAGTGCTAATTCAAGAAACAAGCTGTTATCTTTTTTCAAAAGGATACTAAGTCCCATTTTAATCTGGATTATTCCAATTGCACTGGAATAAGTATATTTTATTTACTGACAAGTTTTCTTTTTCCATAGGAGGCTGTCTGTGAAAGGAATATAGCTAGACAGCCACAAAAAGCTCAAAAAGAGGACATGAATTTAAAAACCAGAATTAACTGATTTAACTTACATCCTTATACAGAAAAGCCAGTATGATTTGGGAAAGGCAGAGGACATATTTCTTGCCCTTGTGCCGCAGTCAACTGAAGTATTAAGATTAGTTTTTGTCTTGAATTTGTATCTTGTTCAGCTGAGGAAGACACTTAAATTTCATAAAACTCATCACAGTCTAATTTACTCAGATGAATGATCGCACTAGGAGAAATAAATATCCAGACACTAATCTTTCCTTATACAGACAGCAGCGCAGTTACAAAAGGCTAATGAAGTACACATCATCTTAACCAACACCAGCCACGTCTATAAAGACATCTCTCTACATTAATGTTAAATTTCATTCTGTATTCACAGACATTGGGTTGTGGGTTTTTTGGTACCTGCAAGTAAGGTTAGGGTCAGCATTCCTTGATAGAAGCAGTTCTACAGTCTTCAAGATGTTTTCCTCTGAAGCCTGCGCAGTACATGCTGCCATCAGCACAGTGTACTTATCTGTTTTGAAACTTGCAGTTAGAGAATTACATATGGAAATGTAAATAACATGCTAATGCAGAAGCTCCTTTAAAAGCCTTCATATCTTCCAGAGCTGTTAACTGCGTATTTAGAAAAGAGTAAGAAGCTTGTTTTCCTTCCAGTGGAAGTCACTAGAATTATAAGGCAAGCTAAAGGCATCTGAGAAGAGAAGATACTCAGACAGACTAGAGAGAAAAGGCAGTAGTAAAGCATCTACTTCTACTGAACTTCAGGATACTTCTTAGGCACCCAAAATAAACAGTGGGAGCTTAACTACAGATGCCTGTTTCTCAAATCTTGCTCCACAGCAGTAGACTCACTCCCTGTTCCTCCCTGCCTCCCTCCAAAACACAGTCAAGAGAAGAAAGAGCTTAGAGAAAGTTAACTGTAGGGGAATAAAAAAAGTGCATAAAATGTATTATAAATAGAAAGAAACGTCAATTTTAGGTAGAACAGAGGGCCATACGAAAGACAGTTGAAGTAACAAGGCTTTACTACAGGGCTTAAGGAGAACGAAGTTTACTAAACTAGACTACTATGTTGCAGTAGTGGCAGGAGGATAACGAGCATGGTTTTTAGATGTGGATTTAAAGAACATCTGTATAGCCCATAAAGATTCCTCAGGAAGAACAAGAGTCTTTGCTCCAGCTCTGAAACTGGCTGGGTGTTACATGCCCCCTTTGCTCACAAATCAGAACCGTACACCACCACTGTTTGTCCACAGAACAGGGGAGACCCTTCTCATGATTCTCCTAGAGACATGGGAAGCATCACACCTCAAGGGCTGTAGCAACTGAGCTGGGCCTAGAATCAATTAGAAGATTGCCCTTTGAACAACTGCCTATTTCACTTATTGCACAAGCTTGTTTACAAGTTCAGACGTGCCTTTAACAATTTGTTTTAACAAGTATAATTCTAGCTGTACCTACTTCAAACCATTACCATCAAGTGTTACAACATATTTTGTAACACACGAATTGTAAGATTGTGTATATATTAACATCTTTATTCTTCAACTGAGGTCAGATTTTATTCAGCTAAGGTCAGATTCAACTAAGGTCAGATTTTATTATACTTAAACATGAGTATATTATGTACTTTACCCTCTCTGCTCTAATTTTTTCATTCCTCACCAAGTCTTGTTCCCCATCCTTCACCAAAGACTTCAGTTTTGTATTTAAATCATCTGGTTTTTTAATACCATCTTTGAATTTTTAACTACCTCAGGTAGCAGTTCTAACACATATAAATCAGTGTGATAAATGAAAAAGTAAGTTTCAGAGAGTCACAAGAACTTTTGAACAGTAAGCAATTAACACTTCAGTAAATTACTTGATACACTGACAGACTTTTACTCAAAATGTTTCACCTGGTTATCAATAACCAGAGAGATGGCAGGACTTTGAAAAAAGGTAGTAATAAGCACTGTTAATCTGGGAATGGTATTTAGGAGGAACCTGTAGTTCTGTTTGTATTCAGTATGTCAGGCAGTGGTAGAGAGTGGAAAATTAATTTCTGTTAGCCTATCCACAGCTCATATATGTGAGAAAGAGAAGAAGGGGAAAAAACACTTTAGAATTCTCAGGTTTCTCTTTTGCAGGGTAAAATTGGTAAGAGACTGCAAAAAAGATAAGTTTAAGTTCAGTCTAGCTGAAAACCCCAGAAAAGTCAGTGAATTTACTCAAGTATGCTGCGTTCTGATCCTGTCATACAGTCAATGCTACATTAGTTCCGTGTGCTTCATGACTACCATAAAGTGTAAAATTAAGTAACGACTTACAAAAAGTGAGTGAAATGTGACAAGAGGTGATTAATAGTATAGCTATTATGGGTAATTAGTATGGGATCATGTGATTACCTACTGGTGTAAAAAAAAAAGCAGCACGACTGGTGACATTTAGTGCTGCTTTAAGATGACGTGACTTTACTGAACACACGTGGCCTGACCTGGAAGACTGTTCCTGGCTGGACATTACTCTGGTGCACAGGCCTGAGCCACTGCTTCCCTAC